TCGCAGGCAACAGCCTCCTCCACGTGAGCCGTGTCCAACAGGCAGCTGTGCCTGCAGAGCAGCAGCTCTTCTCCAGGAGGTTCACGCCACTATCGCTTGCAAAGGAAGCTCCCTCCAGCTCACAGCAAGTTTTAAGGCATATGCTGACAACTAAACTACAACAGATGCCAAAAATACTTCTTTACAAATTCACTCATGCAAGCACCGACACATTTTAAAGCTAATCAAACACTGTGGAGATCAACTTACCGAGTATTTGCTAAGCATTTATTGATTAACGTGCTGATAAGGGCACTCGGTGCCATGCTGCACTCGGTGCTGCTGTTGGGTTGCTGCAGAGCAGAGAGGACAAACCACCCATCACTGCGAGAGGTCCAGCACCACTGAGTGCGTGCGGTCCCGAACGAAACACAACCACCACTTCTGGCAAAAGCAGGTTCTAAAACCAAGTTTTGTATAAGTTTAGCAGGGCGTCAAAATTCTTTTTCTCAAGCCAATTTTTGAGAGATTTATTGCGAAATATTAATGAAACAACAATGTAGAAGTCACTTCAGTTTTTACAAGGATGTACAGTATGCTCTTGATTCACTTTTCTTCAAAATACAACTAAGCTTTGGTGAAATAGAGAGTGGGTTAACTTTATAGTCTCCAGCATAAATTAAAATTTGTTGAGGGACTGAGATGAACTAAAACACACTTTTGCAGAAATATTCATTACCCCAAGTTCACCCCTCCCCACTGTTACTTTAGTAAGCCCCCCTATACATCAAGGTTCTACTCAGGAATTTTTGTAAATGCTTCATAGAGGGTATTGCAGTGATATCGAGATGAAGATTAGGTGTTAAAAACAGTTATGAACCTCTTAACAGAAGTGTTACAAAAGATCACAAATTACAGTAATAAGTAATCTAATGACATGTCTCTAAAAATTGATTAACCATTTATTAAAATGCCTAAACATAGACAAACAAAACTATAATATTGATCATGATCATATTTTCAATGTTACTATGACCAGAGGCTTTGTATTCTTATTGATTGCTAGTTAAATAAGCAAAAGGGGCTATTCCTTGTTAAACTCCATTTAAATATTATCACTGTCATAAAACTATCCTTGAAATATGCTGCTGTAAGCAAAATAGTCCTTGTTTTCCATCATGGATAAACACCTCATTAAATGGAGCAAGCTCGCTTCCTCTGAATTTCACCTTTCCTCTGACACTGAAAAAGCAGGATTAAGACATCGAGATGAAAAACTCTCCACCTCTCTGGAGTCTCACCTGAATTAGAATGCGAATTACTCATGTCTTACAGAAAACAAAAACTTATCATTTCTTAAAACTCCTTATTGCACCATATAATCTGTAATGGTTCCTGAAACCAGATGAGATAAGGCTTTTTGCATAAGTGAATTTCTAAATAAATTAAATCATGGCAAGTGCAAAACTCATATAAGGAAATAACCTTTAACATATTCAGAGTGTAGAACTCTTACCTCAAGAAGTTATTGAGACCAAAGGTTCAAAAATAAATTATTTAGAATTGCAACACATCCCTTCCCCAAATTGTAATATATCATGCTACCACGGTTTTGGGCAGCAATATTAACAGGTATAAACCATTTCATTAAGAACTAGGGGGAGCTCTAAAGAGAAGGCAGAGTTGCCTACTACAGGGTAGAAACGATAGGAATGTTGCATGCTCTGCACTGCTAGAAAAATCTTTAGTGACAAGCTCTTTTTACAGCTGAAGAACTCACTCCTTATCAGCCACCGTTGCTTACATATTAATTTGTGCATTTTCTTTCATCTAATTTCATATGTCTGATCTGTTACGTTTCTTTCTTTCTTTGCATGTGGAGGCCACTGGTGCTATCAGTCACAGAAGTACGAACTGCCAAACTGTGAAGGTACTGTTGAACAATTTATCTCTTTGATTGCTTCAGTGTTCGGAATCTCCTGTTTTCCAGAGGGTTTTGTAAAAATAATGCAACAAATTCACACATCTTAGTTTTCAACGCTGCATGACCATGATATATATAAACACAACTGAGAAATATGACGCCTGAAGAAGCTATTCATTTAATTTCAATCAAGACTGATAGTACAAATGTAAAAATATTTTAGAATATGCTCTGAATGTAATTACCTCAGCCATCTCTTTAAATTCTAATCAACAGAGTTATGAAAAATGCTTATATTTTACCTACAACTGCATCTGTGTTTTACTTCCCCAGAAGCAGCAGCTTGGCCCATTGCCTTGCTCCTCCCGATGTCCAGCCCTGCTAGCTTTGAAACCCACTTGGGTTTGCTGGATTCGAGCTTTTCTCTGCCAGCACATTTCTTTTTTTGCTGCAGTTGATGATCAGTCAGTCTTGGCACCAGTTCACTTTCTATTTTACAGCTATTTCCGTGTGCATCTTTTCCTACTAAACTAGAAGGTTCTCGCAACACAATATTTTTAAAACAAAACAAAAACATGACATGCCAAGAAATTTCCTTTACTTAATTCCACCATACGAAGACCTTTCTTTCAAAGATGTCTCCAATTTCTAAAGCAAGAACATATTGACAAAGTGCTTAGGCTTTATAAAGGATTCGTAGGCTACAGTAAAAACATATTTTTCTCCTCTGAATAGAACCTCGAAGATGGTATTTAATAAACGCCACCTGCAAAGAAAGCAAACAGTCACCTATCAATATTGTCACCAAATATGTCATTTATGATGACAGCCTGAAGCCTCTGAATTTTGAAGGATACGATGTCAAGGGGTCTTCCAAATGGAGCATAGAAAATAACGGGCATACAGGTGGGTCCATTCAAAAGTGTCACTATAGGTGGAAAGCAGCGAGT